CAACGAAATCCACAGAGAAACCTGCCAAAGGGAACACAAAATCAGCCTGGGAGCCCAAAATCCACTGAGAAACCTGCCAGAGGGAACCCAAAATGAGTCTGAGACCCCGAAATCCACTGAGGGAACCCTGAAATCCACTGAGAAACCTGGGAAAGGGAACCCAAAATCAGCCTGGGAAACAGGGGAACCCTGAAATCCACTGAGAAACCTGCCCCCCCTCACCGAGGACCCCGATGTCGTCCCCGAGCCCCCTCCCCTCCCCCAGTGCCCCCCAAGTCCCCCCTGTGTCCCCGCCATGCCCCTCACAGAGGGTCCCAACATCATCCCCGAGCCCCCTCCCCTCCCCCAGGGGGTCCTCAGAGCCCCCCAAGCCCCCCTTGTGCCCTCCCATGCCTCTCACTGAGGGTCCCAACATCATCCTTGAGCCCCCTCCCCTCCCACAGAGCCCCTCACCGAGGGTCCCAACATGATCCTTGAGCCCCCTCCCCTCCCTCAGAGCCCCCCTGTGCCCCCTGTGCCCCCCTGTGCCCCCCTGTGCCCCTCACCGAGGGTCCCGACGTCGTCCCCGATGGCCTCCACCATGAAATCGGCCGATTTGCCGGCGACCCCCCCGTGCAGCCCCGGCCCCCAGGCCCGGACCCGGGGAGATCCCCCCTCGGGGGACACCTTCACCTCGAACGGGCTGGGGGGGACACGGGGAGGGGGGGTCAGGGCAGGGCAGGGACCCCCCAAACAGCCCCGGCACCCAGGGCAGGGGGGCGAGGGGAGAGGGGGGTGCTGAGCTCCCCCAGAGCCCCCCAGTGCCAACCAGTGACCACCAGTGTGGCCCAGTGCCCCCCAGAACGCCCCAGAGCCCCCCAGTCCTCCCCAGAACCCCCCAGTGCCCCCCAGTGTGGCCCAGTCCTCCTCAGGGCTCCCCAGTGCCCCCCAGGTCTTCCCAGTGTCCCTCAGGGCCCCCCCAGTGCCCCCCAGTGCCACCCAGTCCTCCCCAGTGCCTCCCGGGCCTTCCCAGTGGCCCCAGTCCATCCCAGTGGCCCCCAGCGCTGCCCAGTCCCTCCCAGCAATGCCCAGTCTCTCCCAGTAATGCCCAGTCTCTCCCAGTGCCTCCCAGTAATGCCCAGTCTCTCCCAATACCTCCCAGTAGTGCCCAGTCCCTCCCAGTAACACCAGTCCATCCCTGTTCTCCTCAGTGCCCCCCAGTGCCTCCCAGTGCCCCCCAGTCCCTCCCAGTGCCTTCCAGTCCCTCCCAGTCCCTCCCAGTCCCTCACCTGCAGGGGATGTGCTGTCCCCCCTAGGTCACTGTCACCGTGTAGGTTCCTCCCAGTCCCTCCCAGTGCCTCCAATGTCCCTCCCAGTGCCCCCAGTGTCCTTCCCAGTCCCTCCCAGTGGCTCCCAGTGCCCCCAGTGGCTCACCTGCGGGGGATGTGCTGTCCCCCCCAGGTCACTGTCACCGTGTAGGTCCCGGGCACGGTTGGGAAATACTCGAAGCCAAAGGTTCCGTCCCCGAGGTCCTTCTGCTTCACGGCCTCGGGGCCCTCTGGGGGTGGAGAGGGGACAGGGGGGGTCGGGGGGGCCCCAAAAACTGGGAACAACCCCAGGGACACCCCCCTGAAAAAACGGGACACCCCCAAAAACTGGGAATGACCCCAAGGACATCCCCCTGAAAAAACGGGACACCCCCAAAAAACGGGACACCCCCAAAAACGGGGAACAATTCCCACCTAGAACTCCCTCAATTCCCCCCCAAATCCCCTCAATTCCCACCCAGACCCCTTAGACCCCCCAAAAAAGAGGAAGGACCGTCCCCCAGGGACCCCAGAACCCCACGAGACGGGGGGAGAGTCATCCCCAATTCCCTCGAGGTGCCCAGAACCCCCTCGATTCCCACCCAAACCCCCTCAGACCCCCCAGAACCCCCTCAATTCCCACCCAAACCCCCTCAGACCCCCCCAAAAAGAGCCCCCAGTCCCCTCAAGGTGCTCCAAATCCCCTTCAATTCCCCCCC